ATGTCTTTAACTGGAGGCGCAGGTCGTCATTGATGTGTGAGATTGTGCTGTGGGTATGCTTGTGGTGTGTTGGCTTTTCTGTTTGTTTTCCATTTCAGCTCTGTCCGTGTGACCCAGGTTCTCGCAATGGCATCCAAGTCAACGTGTATTGGTCGTGAAGGAAAAAGGGATGGATCCCTTTTTTGCCGGGGAGTGTCAATGGAGTTGAAGATTGAACGATCAATTCATGGTTGTTTGCTCAAAATCAACTTCCCCAATTTTCGCGGAGGCATCAATACGACAGTCATCGTCTCATCGGTCGCTGTTCAGAAGGAAGTCAGGAGACAACTGTCAGAAGTAATATTGTGATTCATTATTGTAATATTTGTTCACAGACCTTAGTTGTAACATTGTTTATATGTTGGTGTAACAATAAAGAATCCTCGAGTCAACTATTGGTGTTTTGGTTTTTTCGTCCGTTATTACTAAGCGTTTCTGAGAAACTTCAAGGAACAGCGTGAGCCCGAGTGCAGTAAGAGCTGGGCATTTACGGTTTACGAGACCTGGCTGACATAGGGATTATGTTGATCATTTCATTTATTTACAGTAGACAATTTTGATGAAGAGAATTGGCGTTGTTCTGATTGGCTAAAATTTTCAGTGACTTCACGTTCGACATCCTTAACATACCTAAAAGTAATAAGGCATATACAAGGACCAGCAAAAGATAAAGTTATAGAAGGCAGTTAGACACATTAATATACAAAATGAATACATTAATTCTATGCAGAATTTTTATGCCGATGGAACTACTTGTGGCAACAACCAAATTTTGCACTGATGCCATACTCATGAAAGACCTCATGTATTTTCCAATAATAGTAGATCATATGCGAATTTCTAGACAATCTGTGAAATATCCACACTGTTAAGTCATTGTTGTCTCATCAAAATTACTTGTATTTCATACAAGTGCGAGGCAGATCAACCTCGCACTAGTTTCCCTTATCTTAAAGAAAGCGTAACAAATGTACAACTTGAAAACTTGTCCACAGTCCAAGCAGTAACAATAGCAGAAGAAGCACATGATAGCTGGGCACAACAGCTACACTCATCAGCGGATGGTTATGGTTTGACGGAATCAACAACATCCCCTGAATCTCACAAATGGCTTCTCAACCCTGAAATGTTCTTGCCCAAACTCTATGTACGGCCGTTCAACTGCATGGAGGACTCTTGGGCACAAAAACGAGACATGCGTGGGGACGTCCAAGAGTCGACATCAACTGCAGAGGCGGGTGTGTTCAACCAGAAAGTCTTCAGTATATTTTTCAGCATTGCGCTCTCATTCGTGAGGTCGGATGCAAGCTGATCGCCAACAAACTCCGAAAATCCAATACCAGATCTTACATCGAGCCACGTGTTCCAACGCCAACGTCTTTCTGTCAACCAGATATGATTATCGTGTTAGACGGTGTGGCATACATTCTCGACGTAACAATCTGCAGTGACGCCTACATTTACATCAGTCATGCGTCGAAAATGTCAAAATGTGGAGCTCCAACGATGGTTGCTGGATGTAAACGATTCCTGTCTACAATGGGACATACAGTTCAAAGAATCATGCAAATTCCTGTTATAATCTCTTATCGAGGGATGATCAGTAAACTCTCTGCAAAATATCTTCGCAAACTCTTTCTCGCCTCCGCCGACATTTCACGCCTCTGCATCTCAACCATTCAAGGCTCTTTGAAAATCTATGATACTTAAATGCGTGGAACGTATGGACTCAAACGTAGAAAAGAATTGAACCAGTGATATTGTAAATTTGCTGCCATATGGGAATACTTTTTTCTACCCTTTACTCTACTACCATTTGGCATAATTCACACGCGAGACACATTGTGAAACTCATAAACATATATACACTCATTGAACCGATAATACTGTTGTTAACCACCCAAAATGCCTGATAACTTTGTGCATTCTGTATATTCTAATTGTACTATACTACATATACGCATAGAGCATATTGTCCCTATAAACTTCTCCCGGTGGCAAATACCATCACTACATTCAACTGTCGATGCTACCCCATGATTCATACATGAAAGCAACATTCACATACGGAAAATTAATAGACTTGTTTTACATTTGGTTATTCTATAAACGTAAATTATTAAAGATCATACTTTTGTACCAGTCACGAATATCTCACATCGACATATGACATAAACAATCACTCACAATTAAACATGTATGTACAAACACTTCTAGCTCACAGTGCTGCAGAGAAAGTACACATTATTGGGTTCAACATGGGCCGCTGTGCCAATTTTTCTACACTTATTTTTTGATAGCCTAATTGACTAATTTACGTTCATATATTTATTTATCTTTATGAAGGTTATTATGTTATTTAGGAATCATTATTTTGTACTTATTTTTCTGTTGATTCGCTCCAGCGAATGGACGATTTTTATTTAATGTTCGAAAATAAATATGTTAAGCTAGGGATCGTGCACGAACGAATGAACGTGACACGAAGGAGTACAGAATAGCATGGATGCTTGACCGGAAGCCTTCAGCCAAACAAATTGACTTAAACAGTTAGGGTCAGCATCCAATGTTCAGTGATGAATGCTGTGGCCAGTAATTCTGGGAAATTACCTACCACTACTCCATCATATTTAAGGCGCATAGGTCTCAACTTTAAACAGTATACACTTGATAACACAGAGTAGATTATTACTCGAAATATCGTAGGGTACACAAAACTATCGTGTTTTCGAGTGTAGCAATGCTACAATGCAGCCCAGACATTTACTCTTGATACTATATTGTCATTTTGACTGTAAAAAAGCACAGCTCTTACATAAAGTAGACCATTTCTAAGGATGAAATTACCCTCGAACTATTCCATCCTTCTTCTTATAGCAATAATTTAACACATTTCACCTAAAACACAAACCCTTGCAACCAGTACATTTAGCGTGTGCCGCAGTCAGATCATATGACACGGACACCAAGCCATGACAGGAATTAAGCTTTCCCATAAATCGACGAAACGCATAATACAATTTTATTGAAAATTATTCAAGAAAAATTACCAAACAAATTACAACCGACGGGCCGAATAAGTTCAACGCCAGCGCGATGACATAAATAGTTCGGTTCCCCCAAGGTCGTTTGATGGATTAGGTGGGAAAGGAAAGAGGCTACAGTCAGTTTCTGGGTCATGATGAGTTCCTGCGTCGGCTAGTTATATGTTTTCGTGTATCCGTTTTCCATTGAATTTTAAAGGTTTTTCAGGATGTTTTGCTCATTTTGCAGTGTGTAGGTCAGGTTTTGTCAATGGATGCTTCTATTAAGCTTATTTTTAGCCTGAAGTTCCCAGTTATTATGTTGGTAGTCAAGGATTATGGTAAACCTGCAATCATTGAGCCAATTAACGCATACTATACGAATATAGTAACATAATTTAATAAGTAAACTGCCTAACTGTTCTGCCATTGTTTGACAGTGAAACTGTGCGCTGGTTTTTCAGCTTGAGTGGCAATAAATCGAACCTACTGGGTTTACTTATCAGCGTTGTTCCAGCCCTCGCAGGACATATTAAGCATGGACTAACGTCACTTCAGAGCCGAAAGTTTTGATTCAGCACGCAGCTGTCTTTTTAAGGACGACCTGTGTCATTTTAGAACATAGTGGGTAAATAAGGTCTTCAGTCACCATAAAAATGCATTATCGAGGAATAGGTTAGAATAAATTTAGAATTGTTTTAAGCTTGGTGGTGCTGCGGTCTAAGTGATAAATCGTATTAATCACCGTTATTCAGGATATGCTATGAACCGGAAATACTCAGCTGAAAAACGTAGTAATTAAGACACATCGGTGTAATTTATAACGGGTGTAACAGTCTTTATAAATTCATGGTGTTGCTATTTTCTGTGATTTTTTGATGTGAGTAGTTTTAGTGATTCACTATTATAGGATGGTGGTTGTTGATATAAAATTGATGATTTTATCTGTCATACTATGATTACACAATGTAAATCGTCTGTATGTGACGCGCATGTGCCTTACTTCGTCTATGTACATACGTCTGTAAACCAACTGACTGATTGTGATTTGACTAACTTTTATGCAGCACAATAAGACGATATCCGCTGCGTACTAGAGGTTGTGTACTTTATTTCAAGTAGCGATGCATGATATATATCATGCATATATGTAAAAACAGTCTGCAAAATGTCGTTGATGGAAAAATTTGCCTTACTGGGTAATTGAAGTTTTCTGGATTACGGCCAACTACACATACATTTACGTGCTGTGTTATGAATTATATCGTAAATGATCTTGAATATTATGATTTATCATCATACATCATACGAACTGCAGTTCGTAACTTGATAGAACTAATCATGATGACTGTCACCACAGCATATTTAGAGGTCTCGTTCCTCCTTTTGTGTTAAGATATCAGTACCAGTGCACAAGGTCTTACTTTATTAATCATAAGATGTTGCATTGTTCACCTGCTTACTATAGAATCTCAGCCGAAAGTAGAGCGCGGCTGTCATACATATTTTATCAACTGATATTTGAGCTACTGTCGGGCCGTCACACAATTTGTCTCATCAATTGCGAACATATTTAGTTGGTTCTTGAGAGATGAGTATTTTGTATGTGAATATGCCTCCTGGCGGTTAGGCATTATATTGGAAAACTAGTCTGTAGAAAAATTGTGATATTTTGGGACATTTTTATTGTTATAAAAATCTTGGTGGCCTATAGGGAATGTACGCTTAAATTAGTGGCGAGTTTTATTTTATTTCTTGAGCTTTTCTGCTTTGATATGTATCTCAACACAGGTTCTGATGTTTATATTAGGTTTACTTAGAACTCTTGTAATTTTCGCACATTTCTCTTGTTTTAGTTATAAATGTGAATATAAAAGCACGTGCATTATCAATATTTAGCAGAAAATAGGAGTGTCGAAGTCGGGAAAAAACATTTCAATGTCTATCCTCAGTTTACGTGTTGTCGTCGCTCTGTCTGGAGGTGTAGTGTTTCTGTTGTTTACTAAACTGATGTGGGTTGTGCCCAAATGGATGTTGAAGAGCCGTGACAGTGATGTTATTCGTCAATCGAAGCTTGTTAGCGATCATAAAACCTTTACAGAAGCAGTGGATCTAAACGTGGGTTTTTTGGAGAGTCCTTTATTTTGTACAGAATATTAAAGTACCTATTTTCTACGGGTCACAGACTGGTACTGCTAAGAAATACGCTGTTTGTCTTGGGCATCATCTTCATACTTTTGGAGTCCAAAACTTGGTGATAGACCTCAGGCACTTGACTATGGTAAGTGCACGAAGTTTTGTGGTTTAAAATATTAACTAATGCTACTGCAAATATTCAATGATATCAATCAACAGGCTATTAGGTTGGTAGAATTGTTCGAAATAATTTTTGAGTCTGTATGAACAGCCAATAATTCGATTCGTTTTTTCAAACAATACTTGATTTAGGTGTTACATATTCTTGTATCATTGTCAGATTCATCCTAAATCTTTAAGCTTTGGTGGGAACCGGAATGTCAAGTATGTTTATTTCTCGTCAGTAATTCTTGGTTATCATTCAATTTTTGCTGTGCAGATGTAGTGGAATCAAATAAGGAGTGTGAATGCTACCCATGATCAGTTCAGTCAACTGAGATGTTTGCGGGTACATATTGCATATACTAAGTCACTCTTTACGATAGTTTAGTGAATGTATCACAGTACTCTCAAGATCTTTAAAGAATAATTTCCGATCAGCCTATAAAAGAGTTTGTCTTAAAACAAATGTTCCATGCTACGCTGTAGCACTTATTCATATTCTCTTCACACCTTCTTCTACTAAGATAAGATACGTATAACACGTGGCTAGTGCATTTCTTCATATATATCGGCATTTTCTAAACTCATTATAAAGTATGTTTCATAGCCAGATCCATTATGATTTGTATGTGTATTCAGAATATGACAAGCACCTCATATCTGGTCTCTTCCTTATAATCGTGAAAGAAAACTAGCAGTAACATAGGTAAGAATGTCACTTGTTCTGTCACGTGAGGCAATGTTTAGTGCCCGAAATTGATAAGTAATGGTTATCCTCAAAATATTTGTGCATAACCTGTTAAAGTGCTTTTTAGCTTTTATCCTCCTATAGGCTCCTTGATGACCTAAGTAAATTACTAACATGGAACTTGTTACCTACAAATTCATGCATATGCAATGCCCCCTCACACGTGAATCTACTTTCAGTCCATGTGACTGTCGATTAGACCTTAGCTGAAACTCCATCTTCCTTACACTAGTGCATTTTCATCAGTTACTAATAAAACTACCATTCAACATACGAAAAAAGATGCTTGCCATCATTTGGTACGTAAAAACTATTTTAATTCATTTAGAAAGTGAGATAAACCTGATCATGACTTAGAGTACACAAAAACGCACTAATTGAAAATATTCAGGATGCAGTAAGCTTATACGAAATGCTGATTTAGAACAACACCAACGGCGCATAATAATATACTTTGTTTCTCATTGAAAGGGTTACCGGCTTAGGGCTTGTTAAGGCGTTCACTGTTGAAAGATGATGTCACTACAATACTGATATTTAAAAGTGATGTTCATAATATCGTTCCATACTACTTATCCATAAAATTCAGAAGGTAGTCTGTGGGAACTCGATACTGATACTTACGAAAATGTGCGATTGCTGTCACATACATAGGACTCATTTGTATGCTGTCAATTAAACCTACATCACAATTTAACTATAAGTTGTGGAAAAATAATTTCGAAGTATTTTTACTCACTTTAGTATTTTGAAAAAAACTTCTAAGTTAGGGAGGGATTTATTCCAGACATTTCACCACACCCCATGCATATTAATATAGTCCTTGTTTTTATTTTTAAAGGACATGCTGGTACACCTGTCTATACGGGACACATGTGTAGCAGTATTCATTCTGGCAACTTATGGTGAAGGTGAACCCACAGATAATGGTCGGAAGTTTCTGGAGAATTTGGAAAACTCTGATAAGAAATTCAATAATTTACGTTTTGTGGTGAGTGCACTGTACTTAACGGATTATATAGTAGTCTATATAATATATATATATATATATATATATATATATATATATATATATATATATATATATTTCACGAGGTTGCCTGTAAGTAGTATTTGTCACCCAGCATTAGCTTTTCACCAATCATAAGATTTAGAAAACTCCCTGTCACTGTATACAGGCTATTAGAGTCAGTAAAGTGATAAATAAATTTAGGAACTGGGTACATATTTTAACCAGTGGCTGAAAACTACTCGTTATATGGTTTAAAAACCGTCCTCAATGGTGCAGTAGTGATACTCAATCTTAGTGATCTGCCATATCCACTAAACCGTCATGCTTTCCATGGTACTATTCTTTCTTCCGCACATTTCTGCTTGTAGTTATTTTGAATCCCTTTTGTCTACCTTGTATGCTACATGGAGTGTGCCTAGTTGAATTGTTGCACTTCTGTGCAAAGTTCTATGTTGAAGCCGAGTCAGTCAGTCAGTATGTATGTATTTATTTGTATATCTTTAAGTAACGATCGAGTTTTATTCAATTACAGGTTTTTGGACTGGGTAACAGCTTGTATACATATTTTAATGCTTTTGGAAAATCAGTCGATCGTTTACTTTATAAACAAGGAGCTAAACGATTACAAGCAATTACTTTAGGTGATGAGGTGGATGATTTAGAAAATACTTTTCTCACTTGGAGAGATCAGTTGACTTCGTCTTTAATGGATTTCTTTAATGTATTCAATGATAATAAAGATAGTCTGAACATGCAATATGAACGGATATATTCATTGAAATGTAAGACTTGGGGTTTGCCTGTCGTTTCACGCTTTCTAAACAGAGCCTATATGCCGGAAAAGTTGTACGTTTTGGTTTTTAAATTTTGAAAAGTTGTTTTTTATGTTTAATATGCTTGAGACTTGAATTCCATTGAGCATGTAGTACTGGTTACTGAGGAGTTACAATGGATTAACTTTGTCCTTCTCAGAAGTAATGACCAGTGCACGTGCTCAAGAATACTGTAGGATAGTTCTGTGTGTTTGTATGGATACAAGCATTTCTATTTCACGAAAATTGGTGTAATTTTGTATCGGTTTTGTTAAGTAAGTATCAGTAGTCAATTCTCTTAGTTTTACAACTTTATTGTGTGTGAAGAAAATGATGTACATAGTCGTGTTTTGGTCTTCATAGCATGGGTCACATGAATGTACTGCATATAATTTTCACCTCATACTCTTTTTGTTAAGGAGGTATGACTCTCGCGTTCCAACAATTCCTCAGAGTTTTTTTTTAAATTTTAATCGTGTGCCGTTTCACTAAATTAACCGTGCAGGCTATCCTGACTAGTTAGGTTGCAAAAGATCATAACGTGCAACGATCCTATGTAGGAATTTTGAACGTGAGGAAAGTGATGGCAAAATCAATAGCCTCAGTAAACTTATTAATGCTTACTTACTAGTTGGATTTGAGACTCAGACCTTTAAATCTGTATGTTCTTAGTTTTCAGTGACTTGAAAGTCTTTCATCATATTTTATTTTGAGTAGCAACGATTGTACGTGTTCTATTCCCTGTTGCTTCATCGCATCGATTGTTGTTCCTTTATTTCGTAAAAACCTTGTGTTTCGTAACATCTTATTCAGCACTTCTTTATTTTTTGCGGTTTTAATGTAGGGGTTTTATTATGCACTGGGGAAATAAAACACAAACAAGAGCATTAGGATATCAGGTATTTTATCGTGTATTTTGGTTGCGAATCTTAGTTGCCATATGGAACAACTAAATGGACTTCTTAATCTACTTCATTCACTAATAGAAACACACAAATATAGCCTTTACGCAATATCTAAACCTAAAATTATCCTTAGTTGCTGGGACTGTCTGATTTTGGACATCAGAAAAAGGAAAATAGTCTGTTGCACAATGCTGTTTAGCTATTTCTTTTTGTACAGCTCAAAATATTACATTGACTCACAAAGCCACTGACTGTTAATCATAATTGTAGATTAAATTATAGGTGACTTTGTTAATTTCTCTCAAGTGGTTATCTCTGCATAAAACTGTATACTACTGAGTGATTGAAATGAGTAGTTGTTTACCACTCACATCAACCAGGGCAGTCCCTTAAAGGTAACTTCTTTGATCTTGGCACCCAGGCAGTAAGTATCTGAGCCATCGTACAAACTATTAGAATGTTTGTGTGACACATTTAGTATCCATAATGTACCAAGTTTGTGATTTTAAGGATAATAATAGAAGCTCGTTGGCAATATTGAGCTCGTGAGCAACATTGAGGTTAGGCGTCGGTCGAGTGCTAGGTGAATTGGAGGGGAAATCAATCGATGAGGCTGTGAAATTACATCGACTGAGATGGTTAGGACATGTGTTACGCATGCCTAGTCATTGCCTTCTTCGATGGGCAGTGTTAGCTGACACAGGGTCAGACTGGAAAAGAGCTAGCACCAGTCAAACCAAAACATGGCACCAGTCAATGAAATCCACAACAGTTAGTTTAAGCCACGTAGGAAGGTGTAGACTTCCTGACTGGTTGGGTTCCCCGGGACGGTAAAAACCAATGGTTTCAAACAATTGGTGACATGGCTCAAAATCGTTCTCAATGGCTGGTGCAGATGCAGCCACTCCTTGTGACTTATAACTTCAAATGAAACTATATCGTTCTTGGTTATTACCATTCCTTTGTCTCACACCTCTGTTTACTATCTCTATTATGCATTTCGTCTACTTTCTTGTCTTGCTTTGTGTGCTACAAGGAGGGAGTGTGGCGACTTGAATTGGTGCACATCGGTGCAAAGTTCTATGTCGAAAACAGACCATCAGACAGCTTGTTGATAAGTGGTAACAAAATTCTTTTTCAAATACTTTCAATAATCGAGTCGTAAGCTTTGCGTATAGAGTTATGGGTATTGTGCTTTTGTCTTATTAACAAAGGATTAAGACAAAGGAATGAATTTTAGTTTACTGTATATTACACTCAGCTTTATATTGCATTTTAGACCTTATGGAACAGAGAACTATGTCTACACTGCTCTAGTTGTTAATGAAGAGTTATACAATAACAGTTCGCGTTCTTGTCGACATATTGAATTGGATCTATCTGGTTCTGAACTTAGGTATGCTTAATTTATATTCAGTTGATCTGAAAATGCTTATCTTTTTTAATCAAATTAACAGTAATTGGTTTTCAAACTGTCTTCTAAAGAGTCTGGGAAATCTCGTTGCTTGAGTGCATAGCGCTAACTAAAACTTTCATGTTTTATGTTTTACTGGAATATCCATTTATCAGCAACATAGTTTTTAGACCTCTACAAGTTGTAATTGATTTCTTTTGTAGAATGCCCAATTCATTTTTTTACTGAGGTGCTGCATAATTTGCATTTTTTTACCCTGGCACTTTAGTTTTATATGGACATATTTTTTTCTCTAGTGTTTTGTATGGATGAAGTTAGGAAATTTTTGTTAACTGTGTGTATAAACTGTTTTTGTCCATATGTCAACTTACGTCATCTCTGGTGTAGATGTAATATCTGGACATCGATTGAAAGACGTGTGTACTGCGCAGCAGTTTGCTCCGTCCTCCTTTATGGTTGTGAGACATGGCCATTAAAAGTGGAATATATGTTGAAGCTGGCTGTCTTTGTCCACAGATCTTTGCGTTCTACCTCTTGTGTAAATTGGTTTTAAATGGTGAGCGATTTTGTGTATGAGCATGGAGTATTAGGTAAGGAGAGTGAACTAGTCGATTTGGTTGTGAAGGTGAATCTAATGAGAGGGCACGGACACATGTTGTGCACACCAAGCCACGAGTAATGTTAACTGACATACGATTACGTTGGAAAAGAGATAGGAATCGTCGAATCATGACATAGCATCAATCCATGAAGACTTTGACCGCTGATATGAGTCACACAGGCAGGTGTAGACTGCTTGACTGAGGTCCTCGTAACGCTAAAAACCAATGGCTTAAGGTTGTCAGTGATGTGGTTGAAAACCTTTCTAAACGGCACAGATGCATTCATTCTTTATAATCTCCCAGATCCACTAGATCCTCGTACTGTTCTATATTACCCTTCTTTCCTCATTACATTTCTGTTCATTGTAGTCCTTTTGAATCTCTTTCCTTTTTCGTCTACGTTTATGTGCTGTGTGGAGTATGGCAACTTAAATTGTGAGAAGTTTTACGTTGAAACCCAGTCAGTCAGTCAGTCATAAACTGTTTTTAAGGTTAATATCAACCTGCCTTATAGATGGATTATATCATTCGCCAGTTTATAATTACGCTTAAGGTAGCTTATACGTCTAACTTAGTGATTTTCTTTAATTCACACTTTTTTAATTACATGTCATTACCTTCTCTGGAATTGACATGTCTTGCTTCGAATATGTAAGTGGTAATGCGTAACCCTCTCTATGTATAATTAATGTATCATAAAGAACGACCTGGATTAAAGTATATTGTCTTTTATTAACTTTTTCTGTCTAAGCGCTATTTTTTGCGTTAGTTTTTGCATCTGAGATAAAAATAAGGTCAGGGGAACTCGTCTCTTCTTGTCGACACCGTATTCCTCATAAACTATAATAATTATTGTTTTCAGGGAGTCATGTATTCGTAGGAAGTATTGCCAAAGAGAACGATACAGTTCTGTTATATATTATCTTAGAATCACCTATGTGTTTGTTGCTCATCATCAATTTGAGCACACCTAACTAGCGGAACACAAGATCAGACTCCTTTTCACCTACTTGACTGATAGAATATAATCTGTACCAAATGAAGGTCTAGACGGATGACATTAATCACCACTTAGTATCCGATCGAATTGTCTGTGGTCTATCTGTCTGTCTGTCTGGATTCAACATAGAACTTGGCACCGAAGTGCAGCAGTTCGAGTTGCCATGTTCCAAATAGCACACAGAGGTAGACAAGAAGATGAGTGAAGAGAATCAATAGAGTTTGACAAATATAAGAGTGAAACAGAATGGATAATTGTAGAAAGGAATATGAAAGATTACAGAGACTGAATACATCTGCGCCATTGACAACGATTTTGAGCCATGTCACCTACTGTCTCCAGCCAATGATTCCTAGAGTCCCAAGGGCCCCAACCCGGAAGTCTGCATCTCCCTACCTGACTCAGTTTAACTGTCAAGGATTTCATGGATTGATGCCATGTTTTTGTTTGGCCACCACTGGCTCTTTTCCAACCTGAACCGATATCAGCTAGCAAAGCCCGTCGGGGGAGGCGGTGGTTAGGCATGCGCAGCACGTGACCTAGCCATCTTAGTCTATGTAACTTTATAGCCTCGTCGATTGATTTTCCCTCTTTGCCCAACACTCTACGCCTAACGTCTGTGGTAGCCCTACAGAAGGTCAGTTGCGAGCCTGAATAGCACTGTATAACACAGGTTCGGACTTTAGAAGGGACATGAGTTCCTTCAAGATTGCAGTCAAAGCTTACTGATGAATGCCGACAAGCAAAAAACCTAGGTCCAAGGCTTTATACCGATTGCCTCCAATCATCTAAAATGAATGTAATAACACAGCTAATTGACGTTATGAGTTCAGCTATGATATGTTTGATGCCTAGTTAGTTAGTGGTGGAATCGCACTTGTTCATTCATTCATTCATTCATCGTAGGACTAAATTACTTTAATATATTAAGAGTTTATAAGTAGGTATGAAGTACATGTTGACATTTTTAAAGATACAAAGAATTTTATTGAGGTCTATAATTCTGGATTTTAAAACATACATCTTTTTACAATTGTTTACTTTACTAATTATTATTTTTTTAAATATTCATCTTATATTCTCACACTAATCACAGTTACAAAACAGGTGATCATGTTGCATTATTCGCTCCAAATCCACCAGATCTTGTTAAGGCAATTAGTGATCTTCTGAATATTGATTTGGATGTGATGATTAGTTTGGATGCAATTGATCGTAAGTTCTGTGAATACTACCTTTTAGTAAATGTTTCATTAAAATTTGAACATCTTGGGTGTAGTAATGTAAGGACAGAAGACAGGGACTAGGCAACATATAATTTATTGAAAAAATCAAGAGATATTTATAGATTTTTATTTATATTATTGTCAGCGGAAAAGCAACGTCTTCTGATTGATCGTTTTGTTGCTGAATGTTATCCTGTACTGCTTGTGACCGTTTCTTAGAAAGTTAAGTCATATGTCTGCGAATCGTATTTGGACACGTTAAGTCCGCTGTGATTGGTTGGTGGGTTTTTCAGGGTCAAACTGTGTTATTTCCTCTCGTGACCCCGATTCGAGATGTAAACATTGACGTAATATGTTGTCTACAATTTTAGCTTGCAGACAGCTCTCACCACAGTATTAGCCACTTAGAGGAGTTAAATATATCTACCTGTTGTCTCCTTTTAGAGAATGTCAGAGAATTAGAAGTGAATAATAACTTGATGATATCCTTGAATGGATCTTCTTTATTCATCGATGTGCCTCATTTGATAGATACAATGTATTATATATGTAGTAAACTGAGAAATGGTGTAGATATTGGTATTCCTGTTTCGTCATTCAAGGAGCTTCGTGCAAGATGTCCGACAGCCGCACAATTTATATCTGATAAAGAGATGTATAGGTGATCAGACAGCACTGCTTTAGGATTGTCACTGTATCCAATTCTAGCAAGACTAGAGAATGACTTCTCTGAAAGATGTGATAAGTAATCTAGACTCTATAGTTGTTGTATGGATGATATGTTTATAATTCTCAGGAAAGATGATGCGAAGTAGATATTGGAAAAATTTAACTAAAGAAAAAGAACAGAATGACTGTATCTTCTTTTTGGATAAGTAGAAGTATACATCAGAGCTGCTTGAGAGACAGTCCATATGGACTTTTAATTCAGCTAGATTATACTATTCGTTCTGCAGTCAACTAAGACTCGGTTCACAAAACTAAAGACTAATTTCTAAAGTGTAGTATTTGACCACTGTTTTTTTCCCTTCACGTTCCCAGTGGAACATAGGGCTCCAAGCTAGTGGCTTGAAGTTTCAGTAGCAGTGTTTATTTTACAGGATGGGGTTGCTAGCCTCATTCCCAGCCTTTCCTTTTTACCAGCATTATTTCTCGCTTCGCGAGGTAAAGGAGTGCGTCGGTGGCCGGGGATCGAACCCCGGACCATGTGCATGGTCGGCTACTGTGACAGAATACAATTCCATATTAGGTAAGTTTATTTTCTATAACACAGTGATACAGCTTTCGTAGAGTTAATTACACTGTTGGATTTCCGTTTTGGCAAACCACCGCAGTTAAGATTAAAAGACTTTGGCAACTGAAGCGTTTAATGTCTTATTTTCTTGTCCATCACACTTTTATAATCGCCAGTTATGCATATGCGGATAGATTGCGGCTCTTTGTTTGCAGCATATACTCTATCCTATCTCAGTTAGTGACAGCTGGCAATCTTGATGATGATTGGGTCATACATTCTGTAACCTTATCACAAACTAGCGATAAATATGATCTAATAATTCTAACTTCTACGAGTATAGGTCAGTAGCTATGTCACATATGCATAGCGAGACAAAGTGTTTTACTGTATGACGTAATTGTCTTATAAGAATATACTCAAGTGTACAATAAACGATCTGACATTGTAACAACAGAAGACAAGGGCCGGCAACAGATCCTTTTATTACGGAAATCAACATGTATTTATATATATATATATATATATATATATATATATATATATATTTCATGTACATTATTATAGCTTATTCAATCAGACAAACATAGTCTTCTGATTGGTTTTTTCTGGTTCCTCGGAAAGTTAAGTCATATATCTGCTGTGATTGGTTGTTGAATCAGCCTTGTTCTCACAGCCAATATTAGTGACCTAGACATTGACGTAAATTAATGTCTACCAATTGGCAAGCAGCCTGCTGTCACCACAACATAACAAGTAAAAGACATAATTGTTGTTTTCGTAATGAGGACTGATCATTGTTCAATTCATACGATTTTAAATTAACTTCACCATTAAGATATATATTCGAAACATAGACAACTGAGTGTTTAATTTTACATAAGGCAGGCTTTGGTAGATAGAAACTTATGAGGATTACTTTAGACTGCGTAAAAATATAATGTCGGTGACATAGTTCCTGTAGGGCTGATAACTTTAGTTAACGCCGAGTGTACTTAACAACTTTAGTGAAAATCAGCAAGTAGTTACCAGTGATTTTTTTTAGTTTCAGCTTGTGCGTGTGTGCAGCTAGTTACATCGAGCATAGGATCAGGCAAACTCTCCATCGTTTCACTTCACTTCCCGCCAGACAAATGACCGCATAAAGCGATACTAACACCTGTGAAAACTTGCCTCATGCATTCTGGTCATGAAGTTGAGGCAAACAGAAGTGTAAAGGTTATTTTTCGCATTGCACCCTACCTTTCTTATTATCTTCGCGTTCAACTTTGGCATACAGTAGTGGCAATTGAAGCTGTATTGATCTGAAAGTTACCGGATGTTTACATTTGAATTGGCGAGAAATAGTGATCGGATTGTAATTCAGTCAAAGTAACGGTTACCTATGTCAGTAGTTTGTAACCACATTTCTCTCTTATAGCATATTTTAATTTCTCTCTGCCACTCTTAACTGCTGTATGCTATTTATTGCTTTTGTTTTGATCAGCTTTCAGTTTAATCAGACATCCTTTTCCGTGTCCATGTACCTATCGTCATGCATTCACATATTTTGTGGATATAACTGGACCTCCTGGGAGGAATTTATTTTCTGCTTGCATAAATACAATAACTGACCATGATGAATTAAAATTTGTTCAACTTCTTATTTCAAAAAGTGAAAAAGGGAAGGTATGTGTTTTATCAGTTTAAATCTCTCACCTTTTTTAAGTTCATTGCAAAATCTTTGAAAACCCCTGTGCGTGCATACTGTTGAAGGGTCCCAAACAAGGGCGAAATAGCTGTCCAGTACTTCCTGGCTCTCTAACTGTGGTCAAACTTGAAACAAATCAAATCCCTACAAATTAACACTTGTATATTTTTGTTGAACAACCACTAGAATCATTTTGGCGCATCACATACAAACTGTTAATATTCTTTGCACCATCCCCCCCACTCCTTTGCGTTCCGAGTGGACTACACGGCTTCAGCCTTGCAGTTTCAGTAGTGGTGCTTTGTTTTACAGGATGAGGTTTCTAGTCAGCCTCCCACCTAACCTTCTCTCTTAACGCGGAACTTATTGTCGGCTAAGTGAGGTGGCGTCAACCGGCAATCGAATCCAGACCATGCTCGTGGGGGTGATATGTATCCACATGATGTGTGTGTTTTGTTGTTGACAGTCAATTACATTTTGCTGTGTATGTGGATCAATATTCCATTATAACTGACAATATGCTTTTGTCTGTCCACTAACTAAATAAATATGTATGACCTTGCTGTCATATGACATTACAACCAATCATGTTAAGACTGTCTATTGATTCGTTCATTTTGAACATTCGCTCATACACTTGTGTGACATTGATTTCCCTGGTTGTTTGAAAAATACAAGTATCATCGTGAACCTCGTGGTTTTCTGATTTCCGCCTTCTTGCGTCAGGACTATTAATTACTCGACCAGTACATAACAGGGGTGACGAGCATTTTGTCACTGGACCGCTGAGCTTTTTTCATACCACAGCCAACATTTTTATCCTAGCCTTTTATTTACTTACCTGTGGTATATCTTTTTATCTTAGAGACTGTCTTCATCACGTCAATAAGTGGATCATCCCATTCTGTCTGAAACTACTGATAGATACATGTGATGATATTTCGTTTATTCTCTTAAATCTGCATGTTCGTGTTCTATATAGTTTCATTTGTAAGTTATAAAACTAGTAAACCAACTTTAAAAATACTTAACTTGTGGTCTATTGGGTCATATCACGTGCCAAGCTCTCCAATGGGACCAATATGCAGGAAGGCTGGGCATTCGAAGGTAGCATAGAGGAGGTCGTGTGAGGAGAAAGTAAAAGCTTCTTGATGGTAATCCTGGAGTTAGCTGAAAAAACCCCTGTAGAAAACAGAATGAAATGGAGACGTGCTGCTGTGAAGCCCAGTCATTGGTTATTGACAGAATAGGATTTTGGTACAAAACGCTCATGCTGCCCTACCAGAATAGTTAGTAGGTTTACACATTATCGACTTAAAATTTTAATGTCCTTCAAATGTAGTTATAATTATATTTTGATATAAGTATAAAACTTGAGCACTGTAGTAGAGTATAATTCCATTATGGACAAGATTTTATTTTGATAACATCACACAGTGCTATACAGCAATATTAACTGATGACATTTTGAGCAATAGTTTGTGCTTGATAGTTGTTTCGTCCTAGTTTGGGACTCTTCAGCGGGGATCAAACCCGGGACCTTCAGGTCACCAGGTCCAAGCTCGTCGACCATTAACCCATTTGGGACGGTTATTTATTGACCTGTGAATTCTAACCTCTGTCAAATCGTGATAATTAAGCATCTAAAGTAAAGATACAGAGAGTTGGAGTACAGAAAGAAATGATGGTCACTCTGAATCCTTTGCATAATAACTATTATTATGATTATTATTATTTTTTATTATTCTTGACTCATTTAAGGCTGTTTTCTGCCAGCACCATCATCTTAACTCATTTCGCTGTTATTATTATTCAGCTTGCAATTCCTGACATCTTCACGTTCTTACTCTGGTAACTAGTTGTTTATTTAAGTGATGTAACTGAACTATTATCCGTCATCTTCTTAATATCAATCTCCCATACCCCTTCGCCCTTATTTATCTGGATTTAACCTGTGAAAAAATTCGCACCTGTTGTTTAGGTTGATTTATTGATCATAATTTACTTACTCATCAGTCATATATCTTCCAGCGGTGGATTTGCAATGAGCAGTCCATCAGGTCCCATCTCAGTGGATATTTTTATAGGATACCTTGAATAGACAAACTTGAAACACGCGATAGATGATGTGACATTTTACAAGAGATATGGTGATAAAACATCTATTATACGTAGTGATGTTAAAAATGCCTCTGGTTTACATGGCATATTTAACAAGCCACATATAATGAAAGTAGATTTCACTATAGAATGTGAACAAAATGGAAATTTTCATTCTTTGGAATGAGAATATCAAATATAAAAGCAAAATTTGTTACAGTTGAGCAATAAGTAGTCTTTCTAAACTAAATATAGAAGAAATACTGCTCTCGAAAGTGAACTTATCCAGCTGTTAGGTCAGTCACAATCTACCTAATTAAATGCTCACTAAGACAATTTAAACTTGATAAGTCCCCGTTTCATTTCGCCGCCAATTGCATACACTAATTTACATCTACGTGCCAAAGCATATACATGGGACAAACAAAAAGATTTGCTATTGAAGTATTGGTTTGTTGAAATTTGATTGATTGGTTACAGGATTTCGTCATGAGCTGACATCGGTTAGAGAACCATTGAAAAACCAGCGGGGAGTGCTGGACAGTTTCGGACTCTACGTCAGCACGCACCCATTTCCAAAGTTCGAACTCAGTACCTTCTGGTTACAAGGCGAGCTCGTAGACAATTAAGCCACTGGGACCCAATCCAATGGCCCATGAATTCCAACGACATTGGTTAGTGGTCGCTCTATGTTGTGAATCGGCGGAATCAGGAATTCACGGGCCATTGGATTGGGTCCCAGTGGCTTAATTGTCTACGAGCTCGCCTTGTAACCAGAAGGTACTGAGTTCGAACTTTGGAAATGGGTGCGTGCTGACGTAGAGTCCGAAACTAGGACGAAACAGCTGTCCAGCACTCCCCGCTGGTTTTCCAATGGTTTTCTAACCGATGTCAGCTCATGATGAAATCTTGTAACCAAAAAAGATTTGTGACAGCACATCTAAGCACATTCCAAGAAAATTGTGTCTGGTTGATTCCAAAGTCCCTTAGTAGTGTAAATGCTCGTCACTTGTTACAAAATAATCGTGAAATTGAGACATTGAAATCCTTTAAGGTAAATAAGGTTCAAGAGAGCTTCAGGTTGCTACGTATCACTGAAACGATTAAAATCGTATTCATGTATCCAGAAGGAAAACGTTATTAATCCTGCATCACCTCGATAAATATACTTCGCGTTATTTAATTTCGCTATTTTGGGTTATACTTTGTTTTGACAATATAATTTCCTACCATAAATTCTGTCATCATCTACATTCATGAATAGAATCTGCTAGACCTCTATTCAATTAAATCATTTTGCACCTCCATTGAATTTGCTGCATTAGTTCCTAATTCTATAATATTCCATAATCATTCCTATGCATAGCACTGATAAGCTCAACAATAACTTATATTCCTTTTCATTATGTTATTTATTCACTTGATATTATTTTTTCTTTCACCTTTATGATCAATAAGAAATAATAATGACGTCATTTTATCGTACTCAGTGTATTCTTCTTCTTGATGTGTTCAAACCTCTATACTTTAACTTTCATTTTGTTTTTCACGTTTCTTAATGACTACTCTGCAAATGTGTATGCGTGTGCAACGTGAAATTGCTTACATTGTAATTAATCTGTCTAAATAGAAATGTTTTGAACAAATCTTAAATTCACCATATTGTTAATGATTAATCGCCTTGATTAAAAAAAAAAAATGTAATACCTACGTAAACCATCCGTCATGTGTTAAAATCATACCTTAATAATAAGTTCTACTGATATGATTTGTGGTAAAATATAATATATATTCTGGACTACATTGAATCCTAGCTTAAAGATAAAGAGTGAATTAGTAAAACGCGTTGAACACTTATTTGAGAAGTTGCATCAGCCAACGCCAACGGTTGACCGCTGAAGAAATCTCAGTACGGATACAGAATGCTCGTTTGGCATATACCATTTTACGTGATATCCGGCTGTCAACCAAAGGGCGTGTGTACTACTCAGTAGTTGGCTCAGACCTCTTTTATGATTGTGAGACATGGTGATTGAAGGTGGAAGACATGAAAAGCCCGGCTAGCTGTCTTTGATCATGGGTGACTGCGTTCTATCTCCCATGTGAAGTGGTATAATAAGTTGAACAATTTTGAGGTGAGGCACCGGTTGCGTGCTAGGTAAGGCGGGGGGGATTCAATCGATGAGGCTATGCAGCTACACCACCGATTGAGATGGTTAGGACATGTGTTACGCATGTATGCCTAGCCATCGCCTTCCTCGACGAGCAATGTTAGCTGACTGACATAGGATCAAGTTGCAAAATAGCTAGTGGTGGTCAAACCAAAACATGACTTCATCAGTCAATGAAATCCACAACGGTTAGTTTATATCACGTAGGGAGGTGTAGAGTACTGTCTAGTTGGGGTAGTCGAGATTGTGAAATCCAGTGGCTGGAGACGATTTGTGATATAGCTCAAAATCCTCGTTCTCAATGGCGCAGATGCGATTGTGATTTGTGATGTGATTGTGATTTATCATATCCAATAAAATTCTATTGTTCTTCCATATTACTATTCTTTTTGCCTCATATTTCTGTTTATTACCTCTCTTTACTCGCTTCTCTTGCTTTGCGTGCAACATGGAGTATGGCCACTCGAACTGCCGCACATCTATGCAAAGTTTTACGTTGAAACCGGTCAGTTAAAGTATATATCAAAACACAAACATGGCACATTATGGATACCAAGAGATGCGTCACACAAAACCTCATAGTTTGTGCAAGGACTAGGTCGCTGCTCATACGGCCAGACCGAGGTGAGTGGTTGTCCTTAGGGACTACTCTCTGAGTCTTTAACTTGAAGTCTAACCCTGTAAGCAGTGGAGCCACGTTTTCCAGTGATCCGAAACAGGTTCATACATCATTCGAATGAATCAAATTTTGGAGTCCATGTACACTATAGGTTTGGGATCAGGTTTTGCCACATCTCTCTCTCTCCTACATGTTCACTAGTTCGGTTGTAAGCGCTAAGCGTTTGCACTCACCCTTTCATTTTGGTGAGGAACACCCCCACCACGTGAAGGCATTGAATAAGAATCACCTTGCAGATGGAGACTATGAGCGCGCATAGCAATATAAGAGCACTTCGAGAGGAAAAGCGAAATCTACCCACCCTCAGCTGTATCAGGTAGTTTATGGGGATCATCATTAATTGCTCAGGCTCCTTCAACGATTCTTTACAACGCCTGCATATACTTGTAGATGTTTCTTAGTCCAGTACATTTATGTACTACGATTGAATATCTTCTTATGATTGTTTTACTCATTTTAAGGAACTATACTCAAAGTGGATTTTAGAAGATCATCGTGGTTTTGTAGATGTACTAAAAGATCTGAAGTCATTTCGACCACCAGTTGATCTCTTGCTGGAGTTATTAAATCCTCTAAAGCCAAGACTGTACAGTATCTCCTCCTCTGCATTAGTGTATCCGAAACGAATACATATAACGGCTTCTGTGGTTAATTATCAAACGAATTCAGGTATGTAGTGATCATTTATTATCTTTTGCAGCTATTCACTATGCAATTAACTGGTGCATACCTAATAAATTTGCAGGGACAGTCGAGTAGTGATATCTGTTTTCGAATTAGTGATTTCATCGTCTTCATGAACCTACGGTACATTCATCAAGTGACTTTTACGTCTGTGTCTTCTTATATCTAGACATCTGTTGTTTCCTGTTTGATAATAGTGTTGTGCATTTCGCTTGCCTAATGTGTCTTGTTAGATAGAACATCATATTATTATTCCATCGTGTACAAATGGGACATGTGACTTCAGCAACACATCTCCATTTCAACTTGTTCTCTGCAACTGGCTTTACAATTGCCAATAGGCTCTCATTTCCCCCATGTCACTCTCGAACACTCAATTCGTTTCCCAATCATGTTCCACTAGCGGGTTGGCTTGGTGCGCGATGTCACTCAGAGTCTCCATTGCCTCTAGTATATTTATTGGCCAATAGATTCTTGGTTGGCTCGTTGCCAGAGTTCCTTGCTACTAATCGTATTGTACGTCGGTGTCATAGTGGTTAGGATGCTCGCCGACCACGCACATGGTCCGGGGTTCGACCCCGGCCACCGACGCACTCCTTCACCTCGCTAAGCCAGAAATAATGCTGTTAAAGAGGAAAGTTGGGAATGAAGCTAGCAATCCCATCCTGTAAAATAAACGCTGCTAGAGAAACTTCAAGCCACTAGCTTGGAGCCCTATGTTCCACTGGGAACGTGAAGGAAAAAAATCGTTCCTGACCGGCAGTATAATCTTCAACATTTGGAAGATACTGTGACGGCACAAGGTTCCATATTATCCTATTTCCTTTCTACACTTCTGATTTGTAGGAAAATTCTACCATTTTAACCTTTGCAAGTTCATAGTTATGTAGATGTGTAAATCTCTCAAAACTTCCCTGTAAATAATTGAAAGTTTCGTTGAAGTTGTTTGTTTTACTGTATTATATCAATGTTTAAATGCTAACCATTTTGTGAAATATAGATTATTTGATATTTAGTTGACGGTTGCCGAGCAGGGAGTTTAGGATGTTCAATGTAAACAGTCAACAGGATTTTTATTGTATTCCTTTGCATTCAGAGTGGAATGTAGAGCTTGAAATTTCAGTAACAGTGGTTTTATTTTAACTGGGTAAGGTTGCTAGCCTCATGTCCAACCGTCCCTCTCTCTCGTACTTACTATCTGCTAAGCGAGGTCTAGAAGTATGTTGGCCAGGAATCGAACCCTAGACCACATGCGTAGATTTGGTGAGCATTCTACCGTTGAAACAGTGACGTGAACAATCAACAGGAAATACAAACTAACTCAAATAGATTGTTCGAGGTGTAATTCTCACTTCATAATTATAATAAATCGACTTGTTCGTTTTTTCACAATTGGCATAACTGTGTTTAGCATTTATATGTTCATGAATACAGTGAATTACTACTTTCCAACTTATTACTGGGCCTCATACAATTCTTCTCATTAGTAAACTTAAACTAAACAAGAGCAACGAATGTACTTGGATGTACTTGAATAGTGTGAGCTCAATTTTTGTTATTCCACCTCTTCCTCACAGTTAACTGTGACTTGATCAATGAAAAGCAAAAAATAAATTACATAAGAAATTTGAACATCCTTTTTCAGAATGACAATGAGTATCTCATAGCAACTATAAGTATCACGTGTTTGTTTGCCAAGAATTTGCTTGATTACAGGTTCGGTCACTGGCTGGCATCAGTTAGAGAACCATTGGAAACCCATGAAACAGTGGAAAGCCGTTTCGTCCTAATTTGGGGCTCTTCAGCAGCGCGTGTCCATTGGGGTTGGAACCTCGAACCTTTCGGTTGTAAGTCAAGCCCCGCAGATCATCTAATCAGGTTGAGAGGACAGTTACCCGCTTATAACAATGGCTGACGGATGCGCATCGCGGGTTGGCAGATATTGGAATTCACAGGTCACTGGATCAGATCCCAATAGCTGAATTGTCTACGAGCTTGCCTTATAACCAAAAGGTCCAGGGTTCGGATCTTGCTGTGTACCTATTGTTGAAGAGTCACAAACCAGGACGAAACGACCGTCCAGTATTCCGTGGTTTTCCAGTAGCTCTTTAACTAATGTCAATTCATGACAAAACCAAGAACTATGAGTAACATATGTCTGAAGGGATGAAAGTTGTCCTTCTTAATTCGTTCAAGTTTATGAATGGGCGTAAAAATGTGGCTGCATAGTACCTCGCTAGCTGTTCTTGGTTATTCAACATTTTATTAATTAAAAAAGAGTGTTTGTTTATTTTTGCTCCTATGAAAAATTAATCATTATGTTTCTGATCTGGAAACATGAATTCCCACTTTCAAGGTCGTCAATTCATGGGTCTTGCTACAAATTGGTTGAATTCACTCCAGTTAGAAAGTTATCGGGATACACTGAATATCTCTATACCTGTTACTATTCACTCAAGTAAATTCTATTTACCTCGAAGTCGTGCACTACCAATAATTATGATAGCTGCTGGTACTGGATTAGCTCCATTCCGTGCATTCATACAAGAACGCTTAAAACTAGCTGACGATAAAGGTAACTTACTTTTTGATTTATTTCTACAGCTGTCGACTTCTATTAAATTAGTCATTTTATTTTTTTTTAAAAAAGATAAACTACAATAATAAATATCAAAGGTTTGGTCAAGAATTGATTTCATTTAGAGGACGATCGACAGCTAGTAATTACTGGAAAGCTGTTTCATCTTAGTCTGGAGCTCTTCAACAAGTAGAATTCATAGGTCGTTGAAATCGAGCTCAGGTGGTTGATTGGTGGACGAGCTTAGCCTTGTAAACTTAAGGTTCCTGGTTCGATCCCTTGGTGGATCGTAGGTGCGTAATGGTGAAGAGTCCCAAACTAGGATGAAACGACTGTCCAGTATTTTCTGCTAGTTTTCAATGGTTCTGTAACTGATATCAATCTGTGATCAAACTTGGAACATAGTCAAATCCCTACAAACTAACTGTTGAAAATAAATATTATACTTTTTTATTTTGTAAGCATTTCAATTAAATATCCTTTGCAAAATGCATCGACTTCAGATTAGTTGAGATATATATAGTTTTGGGGTGAAATTCAGAACAAATTGGGTCACTTAGTTTCGCCTAGTCTGGTATTGTTTCATAAACTGTATGAAAAATATAATCAATTCGCAATTAATCATTTATTGCGAATTCAAAACCGGGCTTCGGATCAAGTTTCCCGTAAAAATTAAAAAGACAATTACGATGAATATTCTTCATGTAACGGAGTGGAGTAAATCCCGCTAAATTGATATGTTCTCTGGGCTGTTAAAGTCATTCACAGTCTTTCGGTCAATTAGGTGAAAATGAGGTGTTGGTGAATAGAATGCCCTTAAATGTATCAGTGTGTTTAACAATGCGATCGATGTAACTGTTATCTACAAACCCTAGTGATCAATCAATCTAAATCGTCCTAAAAAAAAGTGCTCCTCGATTGTATAGTGGTGAGTATCCCCGCCTGTCACGTGGAAGGCCCGGGCTCGATTCCCGGTCGAGGAGCTGGCTTGTGCGTCGACGGCACAGTGGTTAGGACTCTCGCCGACCTTTCGAATGGTCTGGGGTTCAATCCCCTGCCGACGCACACCTGATATCTATGGTCGGCCTGAAAAATTTGGGCTACCGATATCACATGCTGAAAATTCCATACCTGTACCAAAGAAATACGGTGTGGAATCAAGCTGTAGTGAAAAACAAAGAAAAAAATCAATGGAATTAACTAGCTTTGTAATCTGTCAGCATAATTTCAGCTTATTTATTAAGACAAACTTGTTGTATTATGGGCACCAAAAGATGCGTCATACAAAACTTCATAGTTTGTGCGAGTGCTGGTTTATGTCCTGGACACGTAGACCGAAGTAGGTGTTTATGTCAGAGGAATACCCTCCGAACATTTAACTTTTGAAATCTTTTCCATTAGGCAGCAAAGTAGTGTTAGAAGCTACATTGACACATAGTTTCCGGTGACCAAACCAGGTTTATACACCATTCGACTGGTTCGGATTCTGGAGCCAATGTAGTACACTATAGGTTTGAAATCAGTGTTTTCCAGCTCTTCTAAGCAGACCTGCATGTCAGCCAGTTCTATCGTTAGCACCAGACATTCAGATTCGCTTACTTAAACCTTCAATAATTTATATGCTTAACATAACGAACTAAGTGGCATTCAAATACCTTATTTATTTATTTACTTATTCTCATTATAGGTGGTGCAAATGGACAAATGTTGTTGTTTTTCGGTTGTCGTCATGAAAATGAAGACTTCATATACTCAGCTGAATTAAAACAAGCCTGTGGTACTGGCCTACTTGAAATGCACACCGCTTTTTCGCGTGACTCTGTCGATGGCACCAAGGTGTATGCTCAGCATAAACTTCTAGAGATGGGTCATAAAGTGTGGCAACTTTTAGATGAATACCATGCGTATCTTTATGTTTGTGGGTAAGCAATTTATCATTGTTTATGAATGACTATTTTATTTTGAAAGTGTGGAATATTGAGATTACAATCAGAGTAAAGGCATTATATTGAAAGGATATGGATATTCTTGAGTTTAACAGTGAAACTAAACGTGACCATCAGTTAGGTAATCATCGGGGAAGGTTTGAACCGGGTAGATGAGACCACAGACGCCCTAATCAAAAGTTACTAAATGCGAAAATACATAGAGGGATCAATCCTTAGATTATTAATAGCCTCTTTCTGGACAAATAATTCGAATCTTGTCATTCGAATGGCAACAACTCCAACAATTCGAACTAGTCGTAAAATCCCTTCACCACCTTACGAAGTTCTGATTTATCTAGTGACAAGTTATGGCACCAGTATTTGGTCAGTACACAGCTGAGAAAATCTCTGTAAAATCTTACTCTGCAGAACCGTCCTCATTGCGTTGATTAGCCTTATCGACGGAACTTAGTTGGCATGAAACTCATTCGTCCTTGTAGTAGTCCTTCTGTTACAGCGACAAAAATCTGGAGTCATGTTGTTAGCCACTGTATATATATGCACATTCATCTGAACACCTATCAGGTGCATAAAATAAATGATAGTAGTAACATTGTCTTTGCAAATTTCTGATTAGGATTTCTAGGATATGTGTAATGCAAGTAAAGTTATAACGCTACAACAAATTTATGACAACTTATTGTGTTCATAAAATATCCAAGTTTAAGTAAATCAGTGTCTAAACTCAAGTTATTTGACACAACAGTTAACTACACTTATGCGTTTGATGTAGACCATCTTTTCTCATATTTCGTCAAATAGTGTTCATAAATTGCAATTACATGTCTCCCTTGTCCAATTTTTACGTCTTTATACTACTTGTTATGTTGTACCAATTTACCTGAGCGAAGAGACCTTCAGTCTTGTCACATACACTTTCAGTGGTCACTTCTCACAGCTGTTAAGATAAAACTAACTTCGGCGTAGTACTTACATACGCATTAAAATAGACCTCCGATCAACAAGGCTAGTAAGTGGTATTTAAGAGTATGAAAAGGTGTATACAAATACTACACAGAACAAGCTTCAGACTTTCATCAACAGCTACCTTCGCTCCATACTAAAGATCGTACGGCTGGTCAGAAAGGATTGGCAACAAGGAACGCTGGTAACAGAGCTACCAAGAACCTACCGCTCAAGAGGATGCCTGAGGAAATGAACTAGGGACACGTTGACGAGACTGTTGAGTGACATCGTGCGCCAGGCCAGCCCGTAAGTGTAACCCGGATGGGAAACGACGAGGATGACATGGAAGAGATCATGTGAGGAGAAGATGAGAATCTATGGACAATCGTGGAGCCAGCTGCAAAGGACCGCAAAAAACAACATGAAATAGAGATGTGCGGGTGAAGCTGTACGTTCCATTTGGAAACTTAAGGAATAATAATTAATATTCATTGCGATATACAAGTAAAATCGTCATAACGAGGTTATTGGTCAATACATAATGTATTGCTGTGACACAGACAAAAAATACTAATCTAATAAACATTTCATACGAGAAAAATTAACGGAATATTCGAAATTAGTGCTTTAATCACTCGCATTCAAGGTTTGATTTCCCCTTTCCCATTTATGTTATTTTATAGCTTTTTAGTTATGCGTATTCATAAATCATGACAATCATTATTATCCTATACCGATTAGCATTATAATTTAAAAAAGTATTTACTAATCTTATCTAAGCTTCTTTTTGCCTTCTTAATAAATACCACTTTTTAGAAACGCCTCTCGTATGGCTCGGGATGTTCATTTGTGTTTAATTGAATTAGTAGCAAAGCATTCCCAAACTACAATTGAAGCAGCAACCTGTTATGTTTTAAATTTGCGAAAACAAGGACGTTATCGTACAGATGTTTGGAAGTAATTGTGTTATATAGTGTAAAACGTTTAACATACCCATTGTAAACCCTTCCCTTCACAAATCTTGTGCAAAAGCCTTTATATCAGTTTATAATGATTCCTTTAAGAGATAATACAAGTTAAGTGAATAACGGTTTGTCGTTTTCCCTTCCACTCGACAAAATCCATATTTGATGTAACACAAAACTGCCTGGGTTTTTCTCTACGTCACTACTTTAACTGCTGTTTAAAGGTAGTTAATGTGTTGCTTTTACAACTTTCTGTTCATAAATTTAATGTTTCCTGTGTAAATTCACATAATAGTTTTTCGCCTCCATAAACTTAGCAACAAGTAAATAAGAAAAGACTGTAGATTCGTACAGGTAAAATTCTCTGGAAAATCTTTTTAGTATGTGAAGTTAACATCTAAAGTTTTGAAACATCCCGGAAGCTACTGTTTTATTTTATTTCATTACGTGAAAGAGTTATATTTATGTGCAATTAGGCTGTGTCAATGGCACAGCGGTAGAATGCTCGCAAACCATGCATGTGGCCCGGGGTTCGACCCCCGGCCGACGTACTCCTTTACGCCGCTAAGCTGGTAAAGAGGGAGGGTAGGGTAGGAGGCTAGCAACCCCATCCCATAGAAAACAAACATCACTGCTACCGAAACTTCAAGACTCTAGCTTGAAACCCTGTGTTCCGCTTGAAACGTAAATGAATAAAAAAATGCAATTAGGAGTGCACTGCAAAACTAGCATCCAGAGTATAGGGCGAATATACATTCTTAAGCCTACGATTTAAATGAATCCCTCCATATCCTTACCTGGTCTTTAATTACCACTAATTAATCATTACTGTTATACTTTAATCATTTCTCCGTTGGTTTCCCCCTCATTCATGCTGTTTTTGGAAAAAATGTCAAACACATGTCAAGTTTTACTCGCAGTTTCGTCTGCACATCTATTCATCATCAATTACATATACTGACAGAACAGTAGTATTTTCTAAAGAATGAGTAAACAGCTTTCACCAGTTAGAGAACTGGAGTACTGGACAGCCGTTTCGTCCTAGCTTGGAACTGTTCGACAGCACACACACACACACCGAAGTTCGAACACAGAACCAAATGGTTGTACGGCGAGCTCATAGACGATTCAGCCACTGAGACCGGATTCAATAGCCCATGAAATCCAACTTTTGCTAATCCCCAGTATTTAGCGTAATCATCAGCCAATGTCATTGTGTGTAGCTGTTCTGTTGCCTCACTACGCGGATCACTCTGGATCGGGTCTCAGTGGCTGAATGATCTACGGCTCGCCTTGTAATCGGAAGGCCCTAGGTTAGAGCCTCGGTGTACAGTACCGCCGAAGAGTCCCAAACTGGGGGAAAAACAACTGTTCATTACTCTCTGGTTTTCGAATGGTTCTCTAACTGATGTAAGCTCATGGCAAAACCTGTAACCAATCATCAAATCCCTGCAGACCAATACTTTAATTATAATGCAATAGAATTAACACCAGATCTATGTAGACAGAGATCTCCCAGCCTCAGAAACAAATCCACCCAAGTACACTTCTGTTCATTCAAACATCAGATTTGGTATAAAAAGGCATTTATTGATGATTCATTTGTACAGTGGTAGGCTCGGTTTCATGTTTATCAACGGGATAGTTCGACCAGTAGAAAAGTAATAAATCATTTCACTAATTGACATATCTTCATAAATACGTGCAGCTGTATAGTGATAGGCAACATTGGCGAAAATTGCAACATATTCAAATGCTGCGAATACCGTATAAGCTGAAAAGAGGATAAGTTAGGAAGAGCAATTTAAGAAATATTATGTATATATATAATGCGAAATATCCATCGAATTCGAACGATTTCGTAGTTGAATTTTTCAGTGTCAACGAAACTGCTTCAACTACAATCACTTGATAAGTTTTCTCATCAAACTTCAAGACGAGAACTATTCATTTTGACTTACTGCAAAGTGTGTGGATACTGTTTAACTCGTTATGTAAAACAAGCCAATAATTTCATCAAACACCATAATTCGAATTTATCAGAATTCAGTCATATACTATTTATTTTTACTAGTTTTTAAGAGTTATACTGCAACAGAACTGGCCATAGGAATAAAAGAATGCTTTTCAAACGTCGAAAGATGTGTAAGGTTTGAAGAAACTAGGGCTTAGCATTAATCGAGGGTTAAAAGGAATTATATCATAAGAAGGTCTGTAATAAGTATTCGGACCTACAGTACTGAGCACAAATGTTGATGGAAAGATGTCGCTAGTGCAGTGGACAAACACAAGTAACATTATTTACAGTTACCTGTCTTTTTTACGAATCGAAATAATACCACAATATAGACATACAATCCTGACGAGTGACACATTTGTATTAAGAGAGTAAAATAAAACGGAGGGAGTCAATGTTGATCAATAAAAAAACTAAGCACGTTCTGAATAACTTACCATATGGTGGACAATACGTTATATGGACGTAGTAAGAAGACATTATAACCAAGAGGCAGGTTAGATAGATCACAAAAACACGTGTCTTCGTCTTCAAAATATCACCCTTTAAGGAAATCGAAATCAACCAAATAATTCATTGACATAACGGAGAAATGTGTGTAACATGCTACACACGAAAAATCAATGGTAAAAAAACATTTCATAAGCAAATGAAAAATTATTGAATTAAAATGACAGTGTTCAGGTGAGGAATTGATCCACATAACTTCCTCCTCAGGTTTAGGAGTTACCGGACAGTTGTCATCTGAAGTGATGAAAATTGGTGGTGTCTGTCAGGAATGCCCGTTGCCCCTTCTTCTGTTTAATTTCATCATAGATGTATTGATGGAGTTGACCCCAGTCGACTTTAGCGACTCGTGATTTGACAAAATACAGCGTCTCCTGAACACCTTGAGCAGAATCGTGATATATTTAGCATGCGATTCAACCCTGTCGAATGTAAGATGAGGCTGCACGGACTACTAGTTTTAAAATAGGGGGGGGGGGTGAAATGGTAAAGCGCGTTGATCACCTTAGTTGTGAAGTTGCATCACCCATTAAGGACTGGTTGCTGACAAAATCTGGGCACGGACACAAGACTTGTGTGATATCTGCCAAATTACGTTATCTACGAAATAGACGTGATATCTGGTTGTAGACCAAAAGACGCGTATATTGCAGCAGTCTGCTCTATGAGACATGACCGGTGAAAGACTGCCTGTCCATGACCAGAAATGCTCGCGTCCCAACTACCACATTGTGAACAACATTGGTGTTAGATGACAGAGGGAATTCAATCAGTTAAGCCAAATCAACTGGGATGAGTAAGATACCTGTTGCACCACCCTACTCGTTAAGCCATGTTTGCTGATACAAGATACGGTTGGAAGGGGGTTAAAGGTGGTTAGCTTAATCGATGGGGTATTCAGCAGCAAGTCTGAGCTATGCTGGGAAAGGTAGAGACTACTTGGTTGGGGACCACGGGATGCCAAGATCCAATGTATGGAGGCTATCCGTCACATGGGTCAAAATCGTTCTAAATGAAGCAAAGCATTTACTCCATCTAATCTCCCAGATCCATCAGATTGGACATTGCGTTAGAGCATAATTTCATCATAGAATAACTGTATTTAAAAAGAAAAACTGTGACAGTACAATCTACTGGTGATGTTCCAAGCCCAATTTACTGATCAAAATCATACCAAGGCGTTACGATTACGAGCAATAACCAATACTATAATACTAATATTTGTCAAACAAAGAATGTTGTGACGTTAGTTGGCGTTCAGTCTAAGTTGAACATAGGAAAGAGTTGTTATGAAAAACGGTGCATGAAAAAGCTATTCTCAAGTTTACACTTGAAGCGATTTGAAATACAGTCGGGTGATTCCGTCCATAATTAACTTATATTCATGAAACAAGGAGTTAGGCCGAATGATTTAAAAACGAAGATTTGAATGGACAGACAATATATATCACAGGGTGCTAAACTTAAAAGTCATTTAGACTAGGAGAAATGAACTACTAATAGTTGTGAAGTTTTTTAAAGGGTTGTTTTGCCCCAAAAGCTATCATTCACCTTCAGGGATGGGCAGGTTTTCACTAACGCAAGCACTCAGCAGTTTACTGATAATGTTAGAGCACATTTTGATACTGCAACAGCAACCTAATGAACAGCATCAATACTTAATAAATGTATTCATTAACCCATAACTAAACCAATGATTCTTGGTAACACTATTGCAGATAAAATCTATGTAGAATAAAATGTACTATGAAACCATAAATTGCATATTCATGTCACTTACCAAGAAAGAATTCTTAAGAAGTTGCATGACCAGATGCGACAAATAAACATCAGTGGTCATGTAGATCACAGAAAATAAAACGAAGATGCAAAAAGAGTTGCGATGCTGAACTGAAAAGAAATGCTAATTTACCGATTCTTACTGAAGTTTGTTGACGATGACCAAAGGGTTAGCATATTCAGAGCAAATATTTCAACAGAACTTGAAAAACATAGCAGAGCAGCATGCCATAGATATTTTCCGTCACCAATTATGTTAAAAAACGTCCAAAAATTTATACAGCTATTGACTAAAATCACAAATCTCCATGCTGAGCTGCTGAAAATTGAGATACGCCATATTGTTTTCTGAGGTTCTTCGTCACCCACGGCTGCGCTCAGTGATGGTAGAAAATTAGAATCCTGTTGAAACTGACTTCTGATAATATTGACATACCGTACAATGTGTCGCAATACAGGAATGCGTTGATATACATAATATTACACAAATTATTAGTGCTAATGGAGGGAGAAGTGATGCAATAATGCATGCATGTCGAAATGTCAAATGGTGAACCATGCCAAATAGGGTATGGTACTGCAGTCAGATGACAACAGCTGGTGTTTTATAAAACACAAGAAGACAAAGAGACTCGCCGTACATACATTCTATTAGGTCAACTATTCTGAGGATTGACCTTCATTTTGTATATTGAGCGTAACACTATCAAAACTATGCGAAATAGTAAAACAAGCCAGTGTATCATTTTGGCAGAGGATAGAAACACAAATCGGCTGATTTAAGGTGTTATTGTGGTGTCGTGTTTGGACAATTCTACGTTGCTTTTGGTGGCTTTTTCGGCATAAATGTACTTTAAAAATCGTATTTTAACGTAAAAACCTGTTAAAAAGTGAGAATAGTGGTCTTTTACAATGTGTTTACAAAATGCACTCTTTTTATGGAACTAACATACTGAGATGCATAAGAAATGTCAGAATTTGTTGGAAAATGTCAATTATGATATTAAATGCAAAATAATTCCAATTGTTTTAGTGTATTTGACGTAAATGATGAGGAGGGTGTTTAATATCGAGGTAATTATCATTTCATGATGTTTACAAAATTTCACAGTAATAAAGGAAACTAAGTTGGTTATTTCGTCAGATAACGGTGAATAAACAGTCATTTAAGTGGTAGGTACTCTTTCAAGTTATTTATTTAGATCATCATTTCCTGACTGACTTTTTGTCATTTTTAATTTCAAGGTTATGGTTTTCAATTCTGCAATCATTCAATATATATTAAGACACTCCAGTGGGATTAAAAAGGATAATATTTGTGTGAATGATGAAATATTTGTGATATTATGAATGTATTTGGCGAAATAAATATTGTTTTAAAAATTTTGAACCTTATTCGTACGCTAATAATACTTACCATTTGTTGAGTTACAAAGTTATGCTAGTGTAAAAGACGTATTATTGGTAAAATGCCATATTTACACCTAGTTGAATTTAGAGACGATGGGGGTACTGTTATCGCTTTCGCTAGTAAACCTTAAACGGGCGATATGCACAACAAAAGCCTATCTAATGCGTTACAGTATTTTACGATAACAAAATAATGAATCAAGTTTGGTGATGTAATTAACTAATGCACGAGCCTGAGTGTTAATGTGATCATGTAAGAGCCTATTGATACGAAATGATAGCACAAGAAGAGTAATGTAGTTATCTCTTTATTACCTAATGATTTCCTTTGAGATAGTAGTGTTAAACGCAACATAAGAATAACAGACTATTTGTGATGAATAGGATAAAAATTGCATAGTGTGCCTGAAGTGCCTAGACTACCACTACAAGTCGTGTACGTATAGAACCTACGTTTGCTAGGTTAAGCTTCGTTATTACAGTACGAGCACATGTTTGACGGCTACTTTCTTAACAATTTGAATACAAATATTATACGCAACTGAAACACTTTACGCAAGGCTTGATGACGCATTGAGGAAATTATAACAGTTTAAGACTGACGCATTTCACATAAGTATTAATACGTTGTCTACCATATTCTCGTTAACCCTGCAATGTCCTCAAAATGAAGTGAAAGAGACAAAGATAGTCTACATAAATGCATATATTTGTAAGGAAACAATAATAAATCAAGTTAAAAATGACTCAGAGTGAAAGAGTACATATATACACTAAAGTTAATAACAATACAGTGAAAAAATCACAGTTGTAGAGATTTTAAAGTTGCACAGTCATCATAAAGTCCAATAACACTCTATCTGCAACATCTGTATTAGTTTGCCTCCGTTCCTAGTGGTGTTGAACCAGCCTTTGCAGTTTTAGTCGCCACCAGATCCTTTCCCAGAGATGTGAAAATTTTAAGCACAGATTTAGATTGTATTCCATCGAAAGCTATCAGCCACGTCTCGTAAACCGTCAATGCCCAGCCCTTGCTGCGCTGGGACTCACGCTGTTCCTCGGAGTTTCTCAGAAACGCTTAGTAATAACGGACGCAAAAACCAAAACACCGATTGGCCACTCGAGAATTCTTTATTGTAACATCAACATATAACCAACTTTAAAATTGAGCTTTAAAACTAAGGTCTATGAACAAATATTACAATAATAAGTCACAATATTACTTCTGACGGTTTCGGCCTGACTTCTTTCTGAACAGCGACCGATGAGACGAGAGTGAAGATATAGGCCGACACCAGGTGTTATCGCGCAATGCCATCGGTTACCGCGCTCACGTCAACAGACGTTATAATCACCTATTTTTTTGGAAATAGATTATATTTGACTAGTTTTAGACTTATGTAGCCGGATGGCAGTATTTTGCTGTATTTTGTTCTTAGTAGAGCGTAAAATTGTATATTATAGCTCGGACGAATTATCAATGAAGAAGTCATCCTTTTTAAGAAAGTTCGCATAGAAAGACTATTATTTGCATTATAGTGCGTTGAGGGTTTGTTTATTTTCCAGTTGTTTCAGATCTTAAGGTTGTAAATATACTGCAGTCAATGGCTGTTGTCATTCCAGTGAATCTATGAGAATCTGGCCTATGAAAGATAAATAGCATGCAGACATAGGTTAGATGTGTGCTTTGAACATGTTAAACTTTTCTGTTATCATCCGGGATGACTGAAATATTCCATAACACATTGACGACATTATGCGATGAATGAGACAGGCTGCTGAATTTCCTGGTTATTATATCTATTTAGATGAAGTTCCTAGTTAAAAGTGCTTGGGCGAAGATGTGAAAATAGTTTAATTGACATTTGCACATGGAATTTCACAAGGCCTTAATTGCTCAGTGCATGAAATGGCATCAGAGTATATTGACATCAGTGTTCATTGTGTCTGGAAGAATAGTATAAATAGTCCTTCTCAAATGTCAGAGTACTTAAAATTAGTACCAGATTTATGTCGATTAGTAGCTGGCGGCTGTGTCGTACAACTACTACACCTGTTACATAGGTTATATCAATCTTAAAAATTATTTTGCTTCACATCACTAAGATATTGTGAGATCCTTAATGACTTAATTGTGGCTATGAAAGATGTGGAAGATGCACTTATGGCTCATATATTTAACGCAGTTATTATTACACAAGTTATCTGTAAGCAACTTGTGATGTTCTGAATACTGCAAACTGTTGATAAGAAACTGCATTAAAGGAAAAAATGCTGAACAGCTAGAAAATACTACTGCAGTTTCGTTGGTTGTTACCTTTAGCATTTGTAACTCATTATTCCAAAGCTGCGATTGACGCCAAACCATCCATGGTACCCCACAGGCCCTATTGAAATTTGTGAGACATCTTACATGTCAGGTTGTCTTCCATATTATAAGGTTGCAGATCTTTCAATTTACCTCTCACTGAAGTATCACTTATCTACTTCACTATGGTCTTTTCATTTGTGCACTATTACACTGCATTTTATGTTAACTGGATATGCCTTTATGCTTACAGTCTATTTGCTTTTATTAGAAACACAACAACAGCAGTGTTGGAACAAAGCTGTATTTTCATAGAAAACATCATATTTTCTATCCTTACACCAATATGGTTGGCATTAAACATTGCAGATGTATACTCACATTCCAACGACATAGCACTTAGCCAAATGTACGGTGTTCATTATTAAGGGTTTACAATTTAACTCTTATAATTCATGATACTTCACGATTGCAGTTTATAACATAACTTATTGCGCCTGTAGAAATGACATGCATTCATTGTAAACATTGGTTTAAACGAAATTTGAAATTATTACTATATGCTTGCTGCTATCCTTTAGAAGAGGAATAATGTGTGTTGCAGTGAAAACCCCAGAATAATGATGTCATTACCAAAGAATGAGAAAGGAGAATAAACCATTTTCAGCAAAGGTAGGCAGATATAAATCGTTTACCTTTAATATTACTTCTTCCTTACTTCAGCTATTTAAAAAACACTTTGTTTACTTATTTGTAGATATCTGGTAACGTCAATCACCCCAGTCACAGAGATTCGACATTGCACAAATTATTCCGACAATCGACTGCGTAAACACATTTGCTTGTTATTATTTTTTCATTAAATACATTTAATATCCTGCTTACCAGACCTTTCTTATTATATCTGAGTTTAGATGTATTTGTCATGATGACTAGGTGCAGACATGACTTATTAATAAGAACTGACGAAGTAATTGGTGGCATATTTTAGTGTAAGCTAAATCTAAATACGATTGTTAAAGCTCAACGAATTCAATAATTCGTCTGGTGTAGAGTTGAATTTACGCTACATGTCAACAGCCTTAGTCATATGGATTGACATCACGCTTTAAGTGAAACATTAGTAATGCAATACTTTCGAATACACGTAACCGTATAAGAACTGGGACTCGAATGCAGTGCCTAAGGTATGCCTACTATTGTCCCTAAAGACTTGTATATGACTATGATACTTATGCACGTTAGCTAACTGAAATACTTATAATTTAACACGTATGCTGACCGACATCGTTCCTACACAATTACACTTACGTATTGTTAGTAGTGAAAGTCCTAGAGAGCACCGGTCTAGCATGCCGTGCTCACAAAGTGAACACATGAATTGAAAGACAACAAAATTTACATGAAAATTTTATTTTCATTATGACAAAAATTTAGTTTATTTACATATTAAGAACACGATTGATTCCTGCGATTACTCCGTCTGCATAAGCATTGGCAAACACTTCTCCAAATTTGTCATTAATTCTGTCCATACCCGCATTGATAATCTTCTTTTTGGTATCGTATATGTTACTTCGATTTCGAGGGATAACTGCTGACGTACTTTGAGATGCGAACAAGTTGCGTGACCACGTCCATTGTTTACAATTATGCATCACATGGTTAACTACAAAAGGTGGAACAAAAAAAGTTAAGATAACTATGAACTGATTATTACATTACATTATACATTAAAAACGTAGTCATAAAAACGCAAATATACCTGTGAAATACGGCTTTCTTAAGTGGACCAAAAGCAAGTGTCGGCAGGGGTACCGACAGGTCTGAAATGTAAAGCA